GTGTGTGTGTGTGTGTGTGTGTGTGTGTGTGTGTGTGTGTGTGTGTCAGAGGGTGACACAGATATCAGTTTCCTTTTATTTCCACTCCATCGCAGCTCTCTCACACACTCTCCTTCTGTCTCTCCAGGTCGTCACTCGCAGTCGTTTGGATCAGAGCATGGAGGAGGTCCGGGAGCTGAAGGTAAAGAGAACTAGATTTAATTATGTTTTTATATTCAAACTAACAATAAGATTCTGTAGTTTGCTGTTAGAAGAGCTGTGGCTGTGAGGAAGCATTCTGAGATTAATGTTTGTTTCATTAGAGAGAGCTGCTGCGCTGCAAGCAGGAGATGAGGAACCTGCAGGGAGTGAAGGTGGGATCAAACCCAGAACTTGTTGTTCCTGAAGGTCCAGGCAGAGGTTCTGATGTTCTGTCTGTGTGTGAGCATGCAGGAAGCCCAGCAGCAGAGGCTGTGCTCCCAGGAAGCATCCATCCTGCAGATGAAGCAGGAGCTGCTCCGAGCCAGCATGATGAAGGACGAACTCAGCAACCAGAACGTACAACAGACCTTTCACCTCGTGGTCCTACATGCAGACACCTGGTTGTTACACAAACTGTTGAGTGTTTTATTTTGAAAGAAGTGTGTGTGACGTGTTGCAGGCAGAGCTTCGCTGGAAGCTGGAGGAATGTAACAAACTGTGGACTGAATGCAAGGTGGCACGCTCGGATTTCTTTGATTACTCGTCATCATTTATTCATCCTAACGTTGTGGCACTGATTAGCTCATTTAATTTGAAAAGTTATTTAGTTGTTTTTGTGTGTCTGGCTGCAGAAAGACGTCGGGCAGAAGGACAGACTAATTCAGCAAATCAAACACAAGCTGGAAGAATGCCAAAAACAGCATGTATGATGAGTTCTTTAAAGTTCTTCATTCACTTGCTGACACTTTTTATTTGCTTGTTTGTTTGTTTGTTTGTTTTTGAAGTGGTTGTGTGTTTTGACAGAGTGAGCTGCAGAGAGAGTTTGAGCATAAAACCAGTGTGCTGCAGGAAGTGATGAGCAGAAATCTACACGAGGTAACTCTGTCTTTCTGCTCTGTGGAGTCACAATGTTGCTGTCAAACTGTCTCATATTCATTTACAAACACCCCCCTCTGTTTCCACACCCCCTCAGTGTCAGGTCTCAACCAGCCCAGAACATAATGGATATTCTTACTTTGGAAATGCAGCTCCTTCTGTGTCAGGAGTAAGTGTGTCCTGTTTGGTCGGAGTATTTATTTCTTTTTCACCGCGTGAAACTCAAGAACGTCCACAGTCTCTTTGTAGAATGCCTCAAACAATCTGATTTTTTAATGAGCAGAATAATCTTTATTTAGAGAAACGCAGAGTAAGAATAGACAAACATTCCTCTGATTGTTATTGTTTTTTTCATTTACATGTTTATTTGTGTGTTGTGTGTTGTAGCAGCAGGCAGAGGAGGTTCAGCTGCTCAGAGATTCTCTGAGGAGTCTGAGGAACAACTTCAGAGAGCACGACCCGCAGCAGCACACGCTGGACACCCTGGAGCAGGGCATCGTGTCGCTCATCGACCGGCTGCACGCTCAGCACACAAACACGGTACACACACTACAACACGGTACACACACTCTACAACATGGTACACACACTCTAAAACACAGTACACACCCCTACAACACGGTACACACACTGTACAACACGGTACACACACTGTACAACACGGTACACACACTCTACAATACGGTACACACACTCTACAATACAGTACACACACTCTACAACACGGTACACACACTCTACAACATGGTACACACATTGTACAACACGGTACACACACTCTACAACACAGTACACACACTGTAC